AGAGAGAGAGAGAGAGAGAGAGAGAGAGAGAGAGAGAGAGGGGCCCTTGAGAAATGCTGACAACCTCCAATTCAGGATTATACTCCCACATGTGGTCCTACAGGCAATTTAAATAATCTGTTCTGCCTCAGGGCCTGTTCCAGCCCAACTTTTGGTGTAGGCTTAGCTTTTCCACAAGCCCCAGGGACTTGTAATGCATCTCTCTACCATGACTCTGTCCACACCCAAGCCATGCCATACACCAGTCTCCCAAGAAAGGAAATGTTCACACAAGCCCGATGACTCTGTGTAGCTAAGGTCCCCTCTCGAGCACTTGGGCTGCTTCTGGGCCACTCATGGGCCTGTCTCCTACTTCTCTTCCCACCCTTCCCCATGGGGCGGGCTGACAGCTAACAGTCTTGAAGGATCTGCCTGTGCCCCAAGCAGGATGCTGAGAAGCAATGCCACACATTACTCACCCTTTCCTGAACAAACTCCACCCTTCCCACCTGCTTCTGGAGGCCTGTCTGCCCCATGCCCCTGGGGGAGTGCCCGCTCTCCTCTGGATCCCTTCCCCCTGTCTGTGCTGGCCTTTGGTCTTCTTTAAGCCTCTAGATGGCTCCCTCCTCTTTGTCTTCTCCATGCCTTCGGGACAAGATCTCACTGCATAGCCCAGGCTGGTCTTGAACTTAGGACCATTCTACTTCTGCTAGTCTAATGCTTGGATGACAGGATGGCATCGCTATGCCCAGCTACCTTCTCTACCCTTTAGGTCCTCTCTTGCATAGTCTTGGGTTGCACAGTGCTTAGCTCGGTGCCTTGTTTGTGTTTGGTGTGCAGTGCATTCTGGGCCTGAGCCTCTGTGTAGCAGACTCGAGACCCTAACTGCATTCTGGGATCTGGGGAAGGAACTTAGGGTCTCAAGTATGCTGCACAGTGCTCATCCAAGTATACTCCCAGCCCAGTATTATTTTACTTTCTTCACTTTTTTTTTTTCTTTCTCCCCCCCCCCCCCCCCCAAAAAAAAAAAAAAAAAAAAAAAAAGATCTTTAGGGTGAGGCATTAGGACATCACCTCTGGGACAGGGAGTGGCTTGGGATGTATGTAGGAACATCTGCTCCACCCTAAGGACTGTCTTTTCTCCTCTGGACTCCACTTCGGCTGTGACCCTCATGAAGGGCTGATAGCCCGGGTGCTGTCACTATCTTCAGGCCAAAAACTCACAAAAGCGCAGATTCCTCTGGCCTTCTCCTTGGGGCAGGCCCCATGCCTCCACTGTGCCGCCCTTGGCCTTCCATGCCAAGAGCAGCGGTCTTGCCCTTAAAAATCAACAGCGTCTAATCCGCGGTAGGGCGGGGTGTCTTTTGCGTGTTATTCTGGTGATAATCCCTGACTGGCCCTGAATGCTCCTCCAGCCTTGGGTGCAGCTTCGGTGGGAGGCTCCAGCAGCTCCAGGCAACAGGCCTGGGCCTCCAGGCTGCAAAGTAAGGACGAGGGGCGTGGCCTTCGGGGGAAGGGCTGCGGTGCTGCGGTTGTCCAGCAGGGGAGGCCAAGAAACAGCTCAGAGAGGCCCAGGTTAGCTCAACCCCTCCTGGGCCGGAATCCAAGTCTTCTGATGCCCAAGTGACGAGGGGCCGACAGGGTTGGTTCTTCAGTAGAGGAGGCAGAATGTGTAGGCAGGCTGCAAGGGAGGGCCTGCGTGGGAGAACTCGGCGGGGCCTGCGTACTCTTTCCCGGGAGTTTGTCCACCTCCCCTGCAAACAGAGCTCTGCCTGTGGCCTTCAGGAAAGACTACCCAGAGTGAAGCTAACCGTAGATTTACCACACACAAACTGCCCAAGAATCCATCTGCTCTCCCACGGTACCCACTTCAGACCAGAGCACTTTCCGAGGTTTCAAGACCCATTGGCATTTAGCCCTGGAGTTCACTTTGGTTCTGGGGTTACCCCAAAGCAGTATTCCCCAAGTCCACCCAGCCCACCTCTGCTGACTGTAGGTAGATCAGCTTTTTAAGTGTCATGTAAAAGAGTTAACATGTAAACAGTAACAGTCGAATATAGACAGTGCTGCTTGCTGGGCATAGCTTTCATACTGAGTGTAACTAGTGCCCGGTTTCTAAGTGAAGAAATCAGCTGCCCGAGCCACCAGATATGAAGGGCCGTGTGCCCATCCGGACATCCTTAAGCCTGGGCTCTTTCTTGTGTATGGTTCTCAGCAGCAGCAGCTGGAAGCGCACAGAAACAAAGGTGCTGGGCTGAAAGATCACTTACTTCCCTTTAGTGTGGAGGTTTGGGCCCCAACAGGGGTGGGGGCTGGGCAGGTAGCCTCTAGGGTTCATGGCTGAATCAGACACTCAAAGGGAGATGCACCCAGGGGGTATGAGGCCCCCTGTCTGACCCTGACTCCTGGCTGCACTGGAGGCCTCCTCGTTTCTAAGTGCCTGCCCCACACAGTTTCGTTTTCTATTTAACTCATCGAATAGCACCAATTTTTACAGAAAACCCAGGGTCAGAGCAGTTCAGCATTGTTGCCCAGGATCACCCAGCTTTTAAGTATTAGAGTTATTGGGATTTGAGTCCTGGAAGGCTCTAGGACCCGGGTCCTTAAGCCACTACACCAAACAGGCCTGGAAACATGTCACAAGCCTCAAAGGGCCTGGTATGGTGGCTCACACCTTCAATCCCAGTGCTTAGGAGGCTGAGGCAAGAGGACTGTTTAAGGCTAACCTGGACCACAGAGGGTGTTCTAGTTCAATCTGGGCTTCAAGACTTTCAAAACACAAAGAAACACTCAAAGATAGAATCAGTCTAAAGTATTTTTAATGTAGTATTTCTAGATCTTTCCACAGAATAATAAATTAAATTAAACCTTGGGTTTTTTTGGGGGGGGTTGTTTGTTTGATTGTTTTTCAAGACAGGGTTTCTCTGTGTAGCTTTGGAGCCTGTCCTAGAACTCTCTCTGTAGACCAGGCTGGCCTTGAACTTAACCGAAATCCACCTGCCTCTGCCTCCCAAGAGCTGGGATTAAAGGCATGAGCCACCACCACCCAGCCTGTGTTTCTTTCTCTGACCAATAGGTCAGGATGGTCTGGAAGCTTCTGTCACCTATACCCATTATAGCCACACTATTGCCTTGCTTAAGAGAGCCCGAGGCTCCTTTTTCTTTTCTTCTTCTCCGCCCTCATGGGCACTGAGGTCTCATGGATGCTGAGAAGCGCTCTATCACACCGAGGTACATCTTAAGCCTCTGAGCCACTTGTTTTCTCAAAGCCTTGATGGAGAACCTAAATCCAGATAGAAACCCAAATCCAGAACAAAAAGCATGAGCTAAGAAAGAAAGAAACATAAGACTTTGTCTCCCAACAGCAACAAAACCAGAAGTTAATTATGAAGCCCAATGTCAACATTGCACATGGTGGTGAGAGTGAGTTTGGCGGGTACCCACTAGAACATACATTTCAAAAGGCAAGAATTTTTTGCTTGGAGTGTAAGGCAATTAGAACAAGAAGTAATAACAGTTTCTGGCTATGTAGTCCAGGTGAGAAGGCCCCACGGAGGAGATGGTATCTGACAGCCTGATGGGAAAAGGGGAAGGTGCTGAATTTCCCACCCCGCCTAGCCCTGCAAGAGCCTGCCAAGGTGACTATTCAGTCCAGTTTAACAAACACATGTCCTGCTCCTATCATGTGCAGGCATTGAGGATGCAATAAAGATTCCTGCCTGCCTCATAGTCCTCTTCTCCTAATTTCCCCAAATGGCAAGGTTTAGCAGGGAATCAAGTATACAAAGTAGGAAGCCCAGAGATGAAAGACCCTTCATCTCACCGCAATGGGGAAGCTTCAGAGACTGTGTACGGCTCACTGCTACAGTACCTCGCTGGACATGGCAAATGAATGCATTCATTCCAAAAAGGCTTAATAGACAGACTGAAGAGGAGTTGAGCTCTGTGACCCTCTCCAATGGAGGATCTTCATGGCTCAACAAGGAATACATGAGTGTGTACTGCAGCATCCTTGGTCCTGGCCGTGGATGAGCTAGATTATAGATGAGACAAAGAGAGAAGGGTACTGGGAACCCTGAGTCAAAGCTGGGGTAAAAACAGTCCTAAAGGGGGGCCCTGTGACTGACCTGCCAGCATGAGTCAGCAGGACTGTGCCACTTTCCATCAATCAGAAGACGCCTTTCAGGACCCAGACCCAGCCTCTGTGGATTGCCCTCATCCAGCCCTCATCCCTTCCCCTCCTAGAAGTGCAGCTAGAGACCTCACATGGTGACTCCCTTCCTTTCTCAGGATTCCAGTGCCACCGTGAGATGCAAAGACACAGTCACCGGTCCCACACCTTCACTCTGTAGGACACCTCTGATGTGGCAGACAAAGAAGAAAATCAAAGGGGGAATGAACAAGCAAGCAACAGCAAAGTTGTGTGTAGAGCCAGTGATCTGACTTGAGCCCACCTTGTAAGTCTTTGCTGGGTGACTGTGGTAATGTACTGTTTATGATTTATTAAAGCCACTGGAGATCAAAATAGCAAAGCAGCCACACAAGTTAGCTATAGAAGCTAGGCAGGGGCGGCACACACCTTTAATCCCAGGACTCAGGATTAAGAGGTAGATGGATCTCTGTTGGTTCAAGGCTACACTTGGCTACACGTAATTGATCCAGTCTTAAAAGAAACAGCGTTAGGGAGGTGGAGACAGGAGTGATATGGCTGGGTGGAGAAAGGAATATAAGGAGCAGGAGACAGGATCTGAGAGCCTTTGGCCTCTGAGGATTCCTGGAGACAGGATCAGCCATTTCAACTGGGTAGAGGTAAGATCTAGTGGCTTGGCTGCTTTGCTTTGCTGATCTCCAGCTTGAAGCCTGAACCCCCAATATCAGTCTCTGGGTCTTTTATTTTTCATGTTACAGGTGACCCTCTGACTTGAGCCTGCCTACATGTCTTTGCTGGGTAACCTCAGGTTGCCATGAAGCCTTGCTGCTTCTTCATTTCTTGTTGGGTGAAGGAATCTTCTGGAAGCCTTCCCTCTCATCAGAAACCAGTATAGGCCTAGTCTGTCAAACACTTAACACAGTAGTTTACTAACCAAGGTCAAGGGAATCCTATGGGAAACAACACAGGATCAAGCTCTGGCAAACAGGCTGCTTCTCCTTCTTCCAGTCATCAGGACTGAAATGGAAGTTTGTGCATAGGAGAGGCTGCCTCTCGCCTACTGAGCTACATCCCTAGCCTGGTCCTTACAGCTGAGACACAGTCCCATGAGGCCCTGGCCTCAGCATTAGTAGCTGAGGGTGACCTTGAGCTCCTGATCCTCCTATCTCTACCTTATAAGTGCTGGGGTAGCAGGTGTTCATCACTATGACTGTTAGCCAGGTTGCCTTGAATTCCTGGTCTCAACAACCCTCCTGCCTCCACCTACCGAGTAACTGGGATTATAGGAATGCACTTCTATCTCGGCCTGATTGTGGCCTCTTAAAATTTCATTTATTTATTTATTTATTTTGATATGAGTGTTTACCTCTATGTGCCAAGTGCATGCCTGGTATCATCAGAAGCCAGAAGGGGACATCAGATCCCCTGGAATTGGAGTTTACAAATGTTTGTGAATTACCATGTGGGTGCTAGGAAACGAGCCTGAGTCCTCTGGAAGGGTATCAAATGCCCTGAACTACTGAGCCATCTCTCTAGCCTCAGTATGCCATCTTTTCAAATAAATAAATGTATTTATTTATTGGGGAGGAATGCAAGTGTGGAGATCAGAGGACAACTTTTGGGAGTTGGTTCTTGCTGTCCACCTTGTTGAAGCAAAGCTTTTCTCATTTCTGAGCTGTACCTTGTTCTCCAGGCTAGCCTCTGACTTTCCTTTCTGTCTTGACTGCACTGTAGGAATGCTGGAGTTACAGATGCACACCATTGTATCTGGTTTTTTTCACATGGGTCTCAGGTCAGCTGGCTCACATGGCAAATGCTTTTACCTGCTGATCCATCTCACCAGCTCTGCAGCTCTTTAATAATTTTGTTGACTCAGCATTATGTCCTTGCTTCCCTCCTTCCTTCCTCCCTTTTTAAATTTTGTTTTGTTTTTGAGACAGGGTTTGTCTGGATAGCCCTGACTGTCCTGGCATTCTCTCTGTAGATCAGGCTGGCCTTGAACTCAGAAATCTGCCTGCCTCTGCTTCCAGAATGCTGGGATTAAAGGCGTGAACCACCACACTTGGTTCTTTCAAATCCCCCATATACATCCTCTATTCATCTTTCATCCAAACACTCTGAGGAAATCTTAGAGAGCTGGGAGGTAGAAGAGTCAAAATTTGGACCCAGGTCTGTCTGAGGTCAGTGTTCCAAACTCCTAACCTTTGAACTATTCTGACTGTCATTTACAGCTCTTGGTCTTTTGCCTTGGTCATGGAAGATTGGAGTTCTGGGGAAGTCAGTTTTCTAGTGCCCAGCATAGTGTCTGGCCAGTAGGTATACTAAGGTGTGGATGATAGATGGATGGATGGATGGATGCAGAATCACCTGTGCATTCTGATTGCACTGGCATTCTGGAGGTTTCTCTGCAGCCCAGGGCAGTGCCCCAGGGTAAGGAGTCAGATGTCAACCCTTCATGCCCTCACCTTCTAAAAATACTAAGAACCATGAGCCCTGCTTGTCACCACACTGCTATCTAGTTGTCCTGTACAGTCCCTGTCTGCCTCCTAACACCTGCTCCCATGAGCCTTCTGCTTGACAGCTGCCCCACCGTCCCATGACTTTCCTGCAAGACCAAGGCCAGATTTGTCTAATAGAACTTTTGAGCACCCAGGCAAGGGCAGCTCCTCAGGCTGGACTTCGGGACACACTAAGGCAGGTTTGGGCTTGCAAGTGAAAGCCAGCCCTTCTTTGACCAGGGCTCTATTTCCATGTGTATGTCCTGTTAGTTTATGTAGAGTTTGACCCCTAGCCCATTTGACCCCTAGCCCCTAGCTGTGGGCATTCAGGACACTGGAGTGGAGACTTGCACTGACTCTTAGTTGCCATGTGACTTGGGACCTCTGTTAGTTACCTGCTAAAAAGGGGATAATAATATTACAAAAGAGTGATGTTATCATCCTATTTATAAATATATCTATTTATATGTATATATAAGCCTGATAGGATATAGACTGAAATGTAATGGTCTTATCTCTAGGCTATGCCCAAGACAGATTTTTTTTTTAAATTTTATTATTTTATGTGTATAAGTGTTTGCAGCATGTGTATCTGTCCACCATATGTATATCTGGTGCCTCTGGAGTCCAGAAGAGGCACTGGATTCCCTGAAATTGGGAGTTTCAGACAGCTTTGAGCTGCCATGTAGGAGCTGGGAATTGAACCCCGAGTCCTCTGAAAGAACAGCAAGAGTTCCTAACCAGTGAGCCATCTCTTCAGCCCCCATGAACACATTCTTTTATTCTTTTGCTTTCTCTCTTTTCTTCTTGTTTATTGATTGGTACTGCGAATTACACCCAGAACCTGTGCCTACTGGGCACATGCTCTACCAAGCTCCCACATTGTGTTACATAGTTACTTTTCTTGTTGACTGAATACCTGCTAAGGAGCAACTTAAAGGAGAGAAGCTTTGTCCTGGCTCACAGTTTGAGAGCATGATCTGTCATGGCAGGGAAGACTTGGCATTGGGACCATGGCACAGCTGGTCACCTTGTGTCCATACTCAGAAGGCAGAGGAGACGAACAGTTACTCAGCATTCATCTGAGACCCAAGGCAACTGTCAAGCAAGAGGCCAAAGGGGGCAGGTGCTGGGTGAGCAGACAGGGACGGTACAGGAGCAATTGGAGCATTGTGCAGTGACAGGCAGGGCTCAGTTCCTCTATATTTTTAGAAGGTGAGGGCATGTGAGGTTGATATTTGCCTCCTTACCCTGGGGCACTGCCCTGGGCTGCTGGGCCTCAGTCTGGTGCTGCCTGCATTTGAGATAGGTCAGTCTTTCCAACTCAGTTAAACCTTTCCGGGAACACAGATATGGTAGCTGTTTCCATGACAATTCTAAATCTAGTTACGTTGGCAATTAAGATGATCTTACATGCTTTTTCCTCAATGAGTGAGTTATTTATTTACTTATGTGTGGGTGGAGAAATTAAAGGACAACTTCCAGAGGTGATTTTCTTTCAACCAGGTGGTTCCCAGGGATCCCACCAGGTAGTTAGGCCTGGCAGCACCAGGTAGTTAGGCCTACCTTTACTCAAAGAGCCTTCTTGCCAGCCCGATGTTTTGCTTTGTTTTTAAGTGTTAAAAAAAGCCAGATATGGGACTGTTGATACAGCTCATGGGTAAACCACTTATCTAACGTGTTTGAGGCCAGGAAGGTAGCACACACTCGGAATACCACCCCTTAGGAGGCAAAGAAAGGTAGGTCATGAGTTTGAGAATAGCACGGGTTACAATTTGAAACCTTGTCTCCAAAAAGAAAGAAAAAAATGATGACAAGAGGTACTACACCAAGTGTCTCCGGGGTCTGTCTCAGGGCTGCCTTCCTGAGCAGGTCCAGAGAAGCCAGCAGTCCTCTTGCAGTGCAGGAGAGAAGGGTTAGGGATCTCCAGCAAAGAGGACCTCAGGTCCTGGGGAAGCCAGTGTCCACTGTGTTCATGTCCTGGCCCAAAGCTGTTCTCTAGACACTGAGAACTCCCAGCCTAGGCTAGCTCCATCCTTCCCTTTGGGAAGTGAGGAGGTTCCTTTCTCTCAGTCCATGGTTCCTGCAAGGCTGAAAGGTCTTGGCTCATTTCTCAAGAGCCAGGATTAAGGAACAGTGAAAAGCACAAATTTAGACACCTTCAGAGCTGGAAAGGGCTAACCCCACTTCAAGGCATTTGGTTTCCAGCTGTGGGCACTTTCCTTGCAGTGGGGTATTGCTTGCAGCCTGTGTCCAGCCTTGTTCTATAAACAAAGAAATATTCAACAGTGAGGGAACTTTCTACCATCAACCAGCAGGTGTGCTGAAACCAGAGCACTGGCTTCCATAGCACCCACCAAATATCCTTCCCAGGCTGGAGCTGTAAGCTCTGGTTGAGGCAGCCCTCTTGTAGTATCTTTCATCTCTGTGACTGTTCTCAGAAAGGAGTCACTGTTGCCCTTGTGGGATGCCATTCCTCGGGCTCTAGAGATGTGGAGAGGCATTTAGATCTGCATGGAAGGAGCCCACCCATCCCAGCTCTAAGCCCTAATTGCCTGCAGATAGTAGAACTACCTAGAATGGAGATGCTATAGCAACAGACAAACATAACCAAAGGGAAACTGTCATTATGATCTCCTGGAGACTCTGTCAGGAGTAAGTCCTGGCCTGGCTCCAAGACAAAACCAGAGTGGGTCAGAGGTCAGAGTTGGATCTTCAGGAGAGGCTGCACGGCCTGATGTCTGGAATTTTTTTATTTATTTTTTATTGTGAAGGGCCTTGTGGCAGTGTCTGGCTGCCCAGGCCTCAG